ACCCAAACTCACGCATTGAGTCCATCGCAGGACACGGAAGACAAGAGCCACACAAATGGCAATCAACTCAAGGATTGCATCGATTCCACCAAAATATTTGTCATTAGTTTTGGATCTCTTTTCTTACGGTTGGGAAGAGTTTGTGATCCGAAGCCGAAGACTATTCATAACATAATCGCCAGAAAGAAGCGCTCGAATCGGTGGCAGACATCGGATGAGACATATCTGTTGCCATTGAATGGTATCAACAAAGAGACCGAAAAAAGTCTAAATGAATGCCAAAAGTCGGTCACAAATACTCTCAACTCATGTCTTACGTCTTCGGGGCGATTGAGAACCGCTTCAAATAGTGATGTTATCATAGATTTCAACAAAAGATCAAAACCTATAGTTTTATCAAAGAGTACACCAAATATGAAACAATGGACTCAATTGATAGACAATGAAGAGGTGGTTATCGGCGAAGACGTCATATACCTAAAGCCGGGACAACCCTATCATATCCGACGGCCCATCAGAAGGTGATCTTAACTTAACATTTTGTTTTTGTGTCTTATTAACAGAGAATTCATTTGTGAATCCAATCAGAGGTGTCCTCAATGTGAACAACCGTTTGGGCGGTTCTCTAACGAGTGTTATGTCAGACTTAGAGACCATTTGTGGGAAAGCCATCGAAAAGTGGTTCGACGTATCCGTCAAAGAGTTAAATGAGTACAGAGTTGTTCTCATTATCCCTGACGTCTACAACAGAAATCATATGAAATATTTGGTGGATATGTTGTTGAATGGGTTGGGATTCAACAGCTGTATCCTCATCCCCGAAGGTTTCAAACAATTGATTCATTCGTTATATTCGTTACTTTTACTCATTTTGTGAACTTTACTCCCGTTTGACAGCCGTTTGCGCCACATTTGGTGCCGGACTCTCGAGTGCTTGTGTTGTGGACGTCGGTTAGTAGCCAACATTAGGCCATCAGTTATTCCATGAATTCAAACTGATTTTAAACTTTAAACTATCGTTATATCAATATTCAGGACACGAAAAGACAAGCATTTGTTGTATTGAAGACGGGTTCGGTTCAAGGAATACACGCCTGACTCTAGATTACGGCGGAAGTGATATAACACAACTGTTTCACCACTTATTAAAGCAAAAAGCCTTTCCCTATGACTGTAAAGCCGACACACGAATCGGTGCTTTATTTCTGGAAGAATTGAAGCAAAAGTTATGTCATTTGAATTTCGATGTTTGCGGTCATCAGGAGAAACATTTTCGAGTTACTGTTCCCGAAGAGCCAGTACTTGACTATACAATACTTGTTGGCGAAGAATGCCTTTTGGCGCCATTAGCTCTCTTTCACCCGGAATTGTTTGCATTGACTATGAGTTTAGGGAAACGAATGCGAATTCTGGGCCGAAATGATGGTCACTCTGAAGACCCGTTCGATGAGAACTATTTGATTCAAACAAAGAGGAAATACGGAGAAAGTAATGACAGTTTCG